CCTACTGTAGCTCTATATATACAGCATTAGGCTCATGGAAGAAGAAAACAATCCCAATCCTTGAGAATTGCGTCCGCCCCTCTCTCTCTCTCTCTTCCAAGGAGTAGTTCTATTTCTTGTGCTCCACTGATACAAGATCTAGATAGCTGTTTGAGAATACAGTAGAAGATCTTAAGGTATATACGGGATTCCAATCGGATCTATCATACATCCAAACCAGAGACCAAAACCAGCAAGTGACCATACCACGACGACCAGGACGACGAGACGAAGAGATCGCCGTTGAGATCTCTGCCAGACGCCGCCGCACGCGCCGCCACGCGCCGCCGGAAGGGAGCAGCTGTCGGAGCTTACTCGCGCGCGTGAGAGCGCGTGAACAGTCCGATTTCCCATCGGTCAACGCCGTTGACTTCGTCATGACGCCAGCTTTCTGGATTGGTCAAGTTTGTTCGATTCCGAGAAGATTTGATTTGCGGTCAACTGTTCGGGCCATCCAGATCTACATAAATTTTAAGCAGTAAGTTTTTTTCATCAAACCTTTAGATCCGCTGCGCATAGGTTTATGTTGAATGTTTGTCCGTGATTTGTGCATATCGAGATCCTCATATGTCCCAACATCCTCCTCAATCGGCTCAGTATTAGGCCGCTCGACTTCAATCTCCTCGTCGAACGACTCTGCTTCGAAGTCCGCACTGCTCGGCTCGACCAACTCAACCGGGCCGACCAAGGGAAGCGGAGGAACCTCAAGCTGAGAAGATAGCTCAGCCGAGTGAATGGCCTTGGCCGCAAGACCACTCCACCACGCATGGTCGGGGCGAAGAATTGCCTCCTGGTAGCCGACGGGGTCGGGAAGAGTTAGCTTCACGGCCTCCCGGTCGATTTTTCCAGGGAAGTCAGGCTTAGTCACGGCCTGCTCCCACGTGTCGCAGGCGTAGTCGAAGTATTGGACCGCCGCGGGAACAAGCTCGTCGAGGAACTCGGGGGAAGCACAGAATCCCTCGACCACAGTCTTGCGATAGTGGTCGAGAAAAACCGCTCCCGTGGTGGACTTCAAGAAGGTCCGTCGACCTTCTTGTATCCCATTATCCCTCTCGACCAGGATCTCGTCGTTGGCCTTGACCAAGTCGACCCTCAGCCTTTCAGCCTTACGGACGGCCGCCTCCTTGTCAGTGTGGAGTTTGGCAATGACGGCATTGGCAGCCTCAAGCTCCTCTTCCTTGGTCGTGAGCTCAGCACACTTAGCCGTATACTTCTCCCCCAAGACCTTGACATTGGTTTCAGGAGAGGTCGCCTCCTCGATCATAGTCGGGAGAATACAGGCGAGAAGCTAAAAAAAAAAAAAGAACAGATAAAGCGTCAAGCCGACAGGAAATAAGAAAAGAAGGGGAGGAGAAGCACACAAAGATTAAACTTACCCGAGGAATGAGCCGAGCCGCATAACGGGCCCGATGGTAGGGGTTGCTGTCGGTCTGGACTTGGTCGTCCTCGGGGAGAATCGACTGAAGGTAGTTGAGAATCTGGAGGGAGTCGGGGTTGTCATAAAGCCGAGAGGGTTGTTGAACGGTTACCGACCGCACCCTCACGGGCGACGGCTGTCCCACATTCTCCCCAACCAGGGGCGCGACCGTGTCGACCTCAGCTGTCGACTCTTTTCCCTTCTGGCGCTTTGAGGAGTCGGAGGCCAAAGCTTTGTCCCTCTGATCATGAGACCTCTTGCGGGAAAGAGGACCCGACGGCTTGCTCGGTACAGAGGCCGAGGGGAGGATGACTTTGGACTTCTTAGCGGCAGTCGTCTCGACCGCCGCCGATGGAGCAACAGAGCTCGAGCCACCTCCAAGCTCCCGAGCAACCGATTTGCTAGACACTTCAGCCTTCTTCTTCTCAAAACGAGCCAAAGCTTTTACTGAAAAAGAAAGTACGATCAATACAAACCAGCACATGAACCATACATGTGTTCCAAGGCAAGTAAACGCAAAAACGTGAGGCTAGAACTATCAGTAAACAAATCGAAACAAAAGACAGTAAACAAAGGAGCTTACAAGGATCGGTAAGACGATGAACACTTTTGTCAACACAAATACCGACATGATTAAGTAAAGAATTATCTTTGGTAAGTCGACGAGTGCTCCACACGTATTTATTCAATTCGTCCAACATATCCGCAAACTGTGAGGAGTCGGGACGCTTGCGCTGTTGTGTCTTGCTGGTGATCCACTCATTTGAAAAGGGGTATTGGCCAGGAGCGGGTCGAACGAAGAAATATTTCTTTTTCCACTCAGTAATGTTTGAAGAAAGATCGTCAAGGAAAGTAACACCTACTCGACGACCCAGACAATGGGCGTCTTTACTAAATCGATACCTATAGCAGTAAAGGAAGAACTCGGGCAAAAAATTACCTAAAACTATACGGGTAACAACTATAAAGGCCACCATTATTCGAATAGAGTTAGGGGTGAACTGGTTTATTGGTATATCAAAGAGGTTACTTATCGATAGCAACTCAGGTTGAATTGGGAAGCGCAAGCCCGACATTATTTGATCCACGAAAAAAGTAAAACAGCCCTTAGGAGGGTGACGGAAGTCGTCTTCAGGTTTGGGAGCGACCAAAGCCCAATCAGAGAGAAGGCCATTGTACTCTCTGAAGCCATCGATTTCGGCTGCAGGAGCATAAGAAAACGATATTAAGAACTTTGCCACAGAACACGCTGCAGTTATAGACTCGATTAAGGGAGTCATTATCAGTAAAGGAACAAGGCTGGCCGCATATATGAGGATGCCTAGAAGAACCTAGCGGAAAATACCTCGAGGAATCAAGTCGGGGTAAGAAGATTCAAGAACTTGGAGAACTTCAGGATCCTCACAAAGTGTGCCCGAGAGCAACGCCTGATTGTACACAGCCCAATCGATACCGAAAGGTGAGGCATTGGAATTGACAGAGCCCTCTGGCTCGACGTTTCGATGAGAACATGGTCCGACATCGTTTGGGTGAACAGAGTCCGAACCCAAATAGTCATCGATTTCACGGGCAAGAGAACCGGAGACGGGATCAGAAACAAGGTCGAGATTGGAATCTAAAAAGAAAAAAAAAAAAGAAAAGAACGACAATCAAGAAAAATTATTAGAAAACGTGACCGTGATTCGATTCAAAGAGGTAAGGGTCAACAAAATGACCAGGATGGCACGAGAAGCGACTCGACAACAGGAAGAAGGGGAGAAGAAACAAAGAAAATATTCCCCGTATCGACTCGACTTGACAAATGAAGGCCAAGTCAGAAAAAGAAAAGGGTTAATCCCTCATAACAAGACGATTGGCAAACGAAAACACTTAAGAGGAATAAGAGATCTGCAACTAAAGATCTAACAAGGGAAAACCGCTAGAAATCTCATTCAAAGAATTCCCAAAAAATCCGATGAACATACAAGCTCCAAGCATATTACCCAGAAAAGCAAAAAAAAAAGGGGGGTTTCTTATTTTAAACACATCGATACATTGAAAAGCAAAGAAAACTTACTCATACTCATGGTGATTGGCGAAGAAGTCCTGAAAGATCCGAGAATGCCGGAAAATGAAAGGAGTGCCGGGAAGCTTGAGATGCTGTATTTGCCGGAGAAACAGAGAGCTCAGAGAAGATGAGGGCGAAAAGTGAAGACGAGAAAAGGGGAGGAGTACTTATAGGGAAGGCAGAGAAACCCTAACCCTCATATTAAAGTCATATTCAACGGTTGAGATGGTGCATGGAATACGAAGCGGCGGAGAGATAAAACGTCTTACCCAATGCTCAAAGACCTTATTTTTTGAATTTTGAAATTCGAAAAGATTCAGACTTATCTAATCAATTCAAAATTTGTGGAGTAGACAAGTCGCATTACAAATCGAGATAGCAAGTGGGCACGACTTAAGGTAACGACCGATGACAGGACACATGAAAAGATTCGAGTGAAACATTCAGTCGTCAAAACTTACTCTTAAGCTCAGAATCGCTTCGAGTAATTTTTGGGGGGGACTAGATGATATATCCATACTATCGTATAATGGTTCAATAGCATCGTGGTTCAGAGATTACCGAGTCGACTTATGCGAAGTCGACTCTGTCCACAGATTCTTTATGGTATCCCCGGTCAAGGGTCCAGGCATTTCGTCCAGTCGACTTCCACATGTCGACTAACATAAGTGGATTTGCTCTTGGAAGACGGTCAAACGCGTGAGGATCTACTGACAATTGAATATGGCCCAGTCGACTCGAGTTGATATCCCGAGTCGACTGAGGAAGTCTTGAAGCTCATAAGATCTCGACGACTCCAGTGCACTTCAACATATCGAAGGACAGTTGTTGAGGATAAGAAGAAAGCTACCAAAGATAAGGAAGAATCTAGATGCTGACTAGGAAGTGGACGGAATGCGAACCGACCAGGGTATTTTGGACATTTCCAGTGAGTCGGCCATGGCATTTTGGAGACTTCAGGTAAATGTTTTTCTTCTATATAAAGGAGATGAGGCAACCCCAAAACCCTAACTCCCATTCATTCTACATTCTTCCCCATTACTACTGCTGCTCTCTCAGAGCAGCTCTCTTCATCTCTTTTACATACTGACTTGAGCGTCGGAGGCTCTACGCCGGAAACCCCTCCGGCGTTGAGTTCTTGCAGGTGTTTTCGCGGTTCAGCAACGGTTTGGAGGCTATCGAGTCAGATCTGAGCTCATTCCAGATCTGGGCGATTTTCCACCGGTTCACTCCAGATCTGAGAGGAGACCCATCATATATAAATATATAATTACTTCAAAAAGTGTGAAGGGTGAATAGTTAGAATGTTTCACACAAAAAAAAAAATGTGTAATAATTAAATAGAAAGTAATAATTAATCCTATTT